ATGGAGGGCATTATCATGGCAACCAGGCATTCTATGCCTTTGCACAGAAACTTTCCCACGCACCAAGCATGCCACCTTCATGAAGCCATCAGGTACCCCAATCCCAAACACAGAACTCCTAGAGACACTGGCTAGTTCTTGCAAGAGAATTATTATAAAAGAGCAATATTGGCTCCTGTCTATTTCTTGGTTTCCTATTAGGCCACATAATCTCTTCCTATGTTACATATTCCCACTATGATGTTATCTACCATGGGAAGCAACCAAGGGGAACTTCACCAGAGTCAAGCAGATGCCAGTGCTGTTGAACTTCCCAAACTGTGAGCTATATAAACCTTTTTTCTCTACAAAGTACTCAGATGCAGGTATTTTGTTGTAGCAATAGAAAACTGACAAATGTGTGAGTGAAGGAATGGAAGGGAGAGACTCTGCTAGGGACGTAAGTTTGGGTTGGCAGGGGTAAGGGAAAGGATTGTTCACTCCAAGGAGAGCTTAATATATTTAAATGTAAATACTTGTGATATTTTCAAGAATTAAAAACAAGAATACAGTACAGAAAAAGAATGAATAGTGTACAGTATGGCTAGTATGACAGGTAAAGGTATAATCCTGCAGGGCTAGGGAATCACTAGTAATAAAAGTATCTAACATTGACCATATTTTTACCTCATGATAGAATGTACCAAGTCTTTCCCATATATAAAACTGTCTAATTTCATCACAAACTTGTGGATCATATTCTGTTATTTCCATTATGCTTATAAGAAGCTGAGGTCAATAGAGTTATATGTAATTACCTAAAGTTGCCATAGGTAGCAACTCAATGAGGCAATCATTACAAAGACTCTATTATTGAAAGCTATACTAAAGAACTTGAATGTCATCACAATAATATGGAGTAGGAACTAAACTTAGATTTATAACACATTATTTCCTGTGACCCAGAATTTTAAAATCTCAAAATATATCCCTGAATCTCACACAACATAGCTTTGTGCTTCCATTCACAAATATGTCAGTGTTATGTCAGTCAAAGTCAGAATGATCTTTTGGGAGATTTTTAAAAATTTAAATTCAAATTTTATCATGATAAGAACACTTAATATAATTTTTACCCATTTAAAAATTTTTAATATACCATGCATTATTGTTAATGATAGGCATAGCACTGTTCAACAGATCTCTGAAATGTATTTCTCATAACTAAATCTTGATACACATTGAACAGTAACTCTCATTTCCTCTTCCCCCTAGCCCTTGCAACTTCCACCCATCTCTGCTTTTAGAGATTTAGCAGTGTTGTATAGATTGTCTGAATGGAATCTGGCAGTATTTGTCCTTCTGTGACTGGACTCTGGTGGCCAACAGAAACTGGGTCTCATCAATAAGCTCACTTCTGCAGAGAAAAAGGCTTCTCAAGGAATGAGGAAGATCTACTCTGTGTGTGCAAGCCAGGTCATTGCCAAACTGCCCATTCCAAAGTATTTCCCCTTTGGAATTTGGAAGACATCATGGCAAGGGAGATAGCTATTACAAAAACTAGTAATTCTTCCTCTTATAGTTGTCGATTAAGAGAGAGACAAAAAAAAAAGGTGAATTGTTTAAGAGTTCAGGACAAATTTATGGCTTGTACTCTTTGGTTTCAAAAAAGGTAAAATTTATTTATGAATTCCATTAATATTTTCCTAAAAATTATTATCTAAGCCAGAATAAACCCATGTTTTTAAAAAAAACACTATGACATATGTATGTATGTATGTGTATATATATATATATATATATATTATATCCATATATATTCTCCTGTACTATGGAAACATTCATGCACTTAGGGGGCAAAAATAAATAGGGACATGTTTTTTAACTTTAAAAGGTATATTTGAAGCCAAGTGCAGTGGTGCACACCTGTAATCCAATAGTTTGGGAAGCTGAGACAGGAGAATAGCAAGTTCAAAGCCAGCCTCAGCAATGGTGAGGCACTAAGCAACTCAGTGAGACTCTGTCTCTAAATAAAATACAAAAAAAAATACAAACAAACAAACAATAGGGCTGGAGATGTGGCTCAGTGATCCAGTGCCCCTGAGTTCAATCCTCAATACAAAGAAAAAAAAGCTATATTTGACAAATGTAAATAATCTTAAAAGAGGTAATATATTAATCTCTTTGCTGATGGTTAATAATTGTGAATGATATGAATGCAAATATCAATGTTATATACAAGAAAGATTAATAAACAGAAGCTATTTTCTTTTGTACACAAATGAAGAATCTTATTCTTACAGAATTATATGCAAATTTTGGAATCTCGTGTATAAAATGTACTTATTGGAGTAAAATATCTTCCTAACCTAATTTAGATAACATGAGTTCTGAGTTTTATTTATTTTTCTTCATATTGTAACTAATGATTTGCCTAAGCTTTGAAAACATTGAAGATATTTAGGAATCCAGAAAATTTGCCTTAAAGTGATAATTAGTTCAAATTATAGAATGTGAACTGTTACTCTAATTATTACTACTTTATTTCTGTATTCCATTTAAAATTTGTTAAGGATCAGGTGAAGCTTTGTACAGATGTTAATTAAATCAAATAATATTTTAAAGCTCATCAGAATTTTAGCCCTAGCTAATAAATTATAACAAAAAATATGAAATATACAAAAGAATCTGTAAAGCATGTATATATGTTCACAAAAAAAAAGAAAGGAACTACAACAACAATTCTAAGTCTTCAGAAGAATTATAAGAGTTGGTAATTGAATGGAGGAAAAACAAAGTAGTTTTTGCACTAGAACACTCAGAGAACTTTGGAAAAATTTCTATTCCTAAGGCAGTTTTCATAGAGCATCAGATGGTGCCCTTGACAAAGATTGACGTCTAAAATGGAAAGTTATAGAGCGAGTAGAGTAATTCAAGTCCAATAAATCACCAGGACCATATGGTATGTATCCAAGATTTCTGAAGAAAATACTGTGAACTTTCAGAGATAAGACGGAGAAAACAAAGAGTATGAAATATAGACTTAATGGTAGCATCTGCTTTAAAAATTGGATGATTCCTATTTTGACACATAGCATATAAAGTAAACAAACTAGAAGAGATTCATATGAAAAATTTAATGTTTTCTGCCTGTATTAACCTGTGATGTTGAGTAATCTTGGATATTTCTGTGCTGTTCTTCATCTTCCCTGGATTCCTTTTAAAAAAATAGATTTTCTGCCCTCTCCTTCCCTGAAGTTGGCTATTCTTCCAACCACATACTGCTTAATAAGCCAGTGGTTAACATCTCTTGGTATTGAAATTCATTTTCACTAGTCAAGGAAAAAAACATAATAATTAGTTCTGGTATCACACTGGTCCCTCCACACAGAATTTGCAATGCTTCTTTTCTTTTTCCTTTTTTTCCCCCTCTCTCTTGCATTTGCTTTCTTCACTGTTGTGATTTTGTTTTGCTTTCTTACATAAAAATAAATTGAAATTTACTGGATTTCAAACTGAATTCATATAGCTCCATTTTCTTTTTCAGCCATTAGCTTATTTTATTGGAATCCAATAAAGGTTATTTAAAATATCGGTTAATTTGCATTTTGACAAGTCAAAAATTTAAATAAATTTGTTTTTTACTTTCTGTTGATACATGAGATTCACAAAGAAAAGTGCACTGATCATAATTGCATAAGCTTAATAAAATAAAACACATGCATTTACAAATATAACCTCTAGCTATATCATCATAAAGAATATTCACCTTCAAAAAGGCTCTGCTTGCCACTGCCAATCAGTATTTGCCCAAAGGTAATTATATTCTGAATTCTACTCTCATTAATTAATATTCTGACCTTAAACTTGAAATACTTAAAACCATACTGATAATGGTTTAGCTTCACTTGCTCTAAATAATGCCATTGAGATACCTTGTTGCATTGTTTATTAGGTTAATCTCATCTTACTTATATGAGAAATTCTATTTAAAAAACGCCCTCTTTTATTTATTCCCTGTCCTTCTGAGGAAAATTTGAGCTTTTTCCAGTTTCTGTCTCAAGTGTACATCAGTAATAAGTAGTTATTCATTTATGTCATTTACTAAGCATATTTTTTGTTTTTACATGATTATAATTTAATAGTGAAATTGTCATAACCATTTAAATTGAGTAAAATATAACAAATTGTGTTCTGAAATCCTAATACAATTAATATTTAAACAGCAGTGTCTGTGTGTGTTTGTGTGCGGAGGGGGTGTATGCATATATGATAGTTCAATTGCTTCACTTGTTCACCAACATTAGTCTTTTTGTTGTTAGTCATTATATAAGTGAAAATTATTTTATCATGGAATTACTTTGCATTTCACTAAGGAGCGATGGTGATATCACATTTTATGATATTTTATGACCACTAGAATAATTTTTTTCTAAGTCTGCATTAAGTTTTTTTCCCCCTGATTTCTAGGAAATCTGTATTCTGGATTTAAGTCATTTGCTGAATCTATCATTTATCTATTCATTTCACTTATCTGAATATGGATGTTATAAATTTTATTGAAGATGAGTGACATATATTTAATTCTGTTCTTTTTGAATCCTGCTTTAAAAAAAATTTAAAACTGCCTACATCAGGACAAGATAATTTCCTATTATTTAATCAAAAAGCTTGCTTTTTAAATTTCATATTCAGGTTTATTATTTATCATTATTTAAATAATCTTTGGTGTGTGATATGAACAGGATAATGATTCTGTTTCTTCAGAGGTCTCTTGTAAACAATTCTTGATGATAATTCTTCATTGAACCTTCATCTGAATCTAGCTGTATGTTGAAGAAGCCCAACACTGATGGGCTCAGCTCCCACAGTATTTATAAACAAATGCCATTTTCCCCTCGCTGAATTCCACTGATGTCTTATAAACCAAACTTAATGAACTTTGTATAATATCTTATTTTTCTATGGCCTATTTTATACCATAGAAATGCATTTAATATCATTGCCTTAATCTCTTGTAGGTCTGCCAGATAGTGTTGTTTCCAAAGATTACTCAAGAAATGAAACACACACCAAAAATGAGAGAGATCTAAATAAAGAGGAAAATTACTGTGTTCATTGAACAATATTTGCAGTTTTTATCTTAAGAAAGTAAAATCTATCATATTTCAGCTAGAATAATTTTTTTTAAACATGTCCCAAATAATCAGACTCTGCTTGACATCTGCTCTCCCTTTCCATTGTATATAGAGGCTAACATTATGCTATGATATTTTACCTCCTGAATATTGTTTTTTTATGAAAATTGTTCAAACATATATCAAGTCACCTTCCAATGGCTGTTTTCTGAGTGTGTTTTGCACTGTTATAACAGAATGACTAAGACTGGGGAATTTATAAAGAACTGAAACTTATTGCTCAGAGTGTATGTTGAGAGGCCCAATATTGAGGGGCTCATCTGAGGAAGTTTTTGAGGCATCAACCCACAGAGGAAGAGCAAAGAGAAGGCAAAGGAGAAACAGAAGAAAGCCACCTGCCTCATCCTCTTACAAAGAACCCACTCTGTTGATAACAAACCTAGTTCTGTGATCTCCACATTAATCCAAGCATAAGAAGAGAACCATCATGGCCAAGTCGCCCATTAAAGGCCCCAGTTCTCAACATTGTTCCTGTGTTAATTAAATTTCAACATGAATTTGGGAGGGGATATTCATCCAAACCCTAGTAGCTCTCAATGCTACATCCATGCCAGCTTTTTAAATTTTTTTCCTCATGAAATGTGTTTGTTCATCTTAGTCTTTGAAAATCACAATCATCAAGAATGCTAACTCATAATACAAGGGGGAGGAATGAATTACAGTAGGGGGGGTAGAGAGAGAAGAGGGGAGGGGAGGAGAGGGGAGGGGGGATAGTAGAGGATAGGAAAGGCAGCAGAATACAACAGACACTAGGATGGCAATATGTAAAGCAATGGAAGTGAAACTGATGTGATTCTGCAAGCTGTATAAGGGGTAATACGGGAGTGCATAACCCACTTGAATCAAAATGTGAAATATGATATATCAAGAACTATGTAATGGAGGGGTAAGACAAGATAATACAAATGGAAGAAATGATTTACAGTAGAAGGGGTAGAGAGAGAAAAGGGGAGGGGAGGGGAGGGGAGGGGGGATAGTAGAGAATAGGACTGACAGCAGAATACATCAGACACTAGAAAGGCAATATGTCAATCAATGGAAGGGTAACTGATGTGATACAGCAATCTGTATACGGGGTAAAGTTGGGAATTCATAACCCGCTTGAATCAAACTGTGAAATATGATGTATTAAGAACTGTGTAAGGTTTTGAACGACCAACAATAAAAAAAATAAATAAATTAAAAAAAAATAACTAAAAAAAAAAAAGAATGCTAACTCTAAGATTTGTGATCTACTGAATATCTTTCATTATCAGATATCAAATTACATTTACAACTCAGAGATACCATGAAGTCCTAAGTCTAAAATGCCTTATGCTCACACTGACTAGGCCCATTCCATTTCCCTACCAGTATCATTTTCCACTACATCTTTAAATTTAATTTTATTAAAGCTTTTGTCACCTTCTAAAAGGATATAAATTATGTATTGTTTTCAAGTCATTTATACCTGTTTGTTATTATCTACTGGTTTTCTGCATTTAATAATTTTTAGAAATTTTGTTTTAGTATTTTAATATTTTTTATTTTCTATGTATTGACAATTCATGCTTTTATTCAGGCTCAAGAAAATACAATTTCAGACTATAGCATATTGAATATTATTTGATTTATTATAAAGGCTTTCTACCCTTTTTTGGCTTAGATTCATTATGTAGAAAACTTTTGGAACATTCCTTACCTATATAGTTTATATTGTTTGAAATGTTAGAGAAAAGTATCAATCCAGAATTTTTAATCTTATAAAAATGACAATTAAGTTAGTTGTTTGATTATTTTTAAAGCATGTATATATATATACACATATATATATGTACATACATATTTGAGAGTGTGTGTATGTGTTTCCTTTTAGTATCTTTGTTCCCTGGAAATAAGTAAGCTTTTTAGAAATTGCTCAATGAACTTTGAGGTAAGTCAATTGGAATTTCAATTTTAAGTTAGTAGATATTATTTAGCATACTTCTTTTCACATATAAGAGGTTTAAAAATTTTAAGAAAACACACAAAATAGTATAACATTATTTCTATTCTTCATAACCATCCTGTTTCTATTACGAAATAATCATGTATTTTTCAATAATTTTTAGGGATCCCAGCTAGGCTCATTTTAATTCTCATCATTAAAGATGTTCAAACATTCCATTTCTTTCTTAAATATATAGTGAAATCCTTGAAGGCCCACTTTGCAGAGAAAAGGCAACACACTAGTGGAAATAACTTATTAACAGGATGAACAGGATCAAACTGGCCTTACACTCCTTATCTATAAAAACAGAGTGTTGGACTTTCTCTCTCCAGTCAATCACTGCTTTATTTCTCTAAGATTTTACATATCAAAATGAATAACAATGTACTTACTTACTGATGCTCTTCATGACTAAGGTATACTCTTATTTTGATCAGAAGAAACAATCCTGATAGTTTGAAAATAAAGTTTCAAAGTATCTCGTCAGTAGGAAGAGGGAAGATGTGCTTCCAAAAATGGTTTCTGCTTTCTGCCTGGAATGCAAATATCCAGTTGTGGACAAAAGTAGATGACTACTGTACTGAAATTTTAGCAATGTGTTTTAGAGTCTGTGACAAAAAGGACGCCTTTGCAGCGACAGTGCAGTGTCCCTAGCAGCAATTGGAAAATGTCAATAATATCCTTAGTGGTTTCTACTCAGACATGGAAACCCAGGAGGCTCTGGCCAAAACAGAAGCTCTTATAGTCACTCAAAGAGTGCAGAAGTCTTATGGGACTGTGTAGGAGAAAACGAAGAGAGGTTAAGTCACATGTTTCAGTGTGAAAGACTTGAAACTGATATTGAGGAAAACAAAGCATGAGTAACATCTAAGATGTGCAAAAAGAAACTCCTACTTTGCCAATGTCCCCAGTGTGATGACAGTACCAGGTGTGTCTCAGAGAAGGACTATTCTCTAGCTGTGAAAATAAATAAAAGTCAGGGCAAACAGCTATTTTCAGACAGAGGGTTTTTTTTTTCTTTCTTCTATTCATCTTTAATAACAAAAAATAGGGTTTTTTAATAACTCCAAATGAAGCTTTCTTCGTAACAGAGGTAAAATGTGGGAAAAAAATAACATTTTAGTGGGATAGTTTCAACAGGTAACAGGCTATCTGGAAATTGAAGATTTCGCGTGACTTTTCAGGGAGGAATTTTGAATGCTGTGAATTTTGTGTTATCCTAGAAATAATTAAATTATTTTTTTATAATATAGAGTTTTTGATTCTAAGGTTATATAATGCCTGGGTAACATAATTCTGAATTGTGAAGGAACGGAATCTTAATTATTTCAGTTCATTTTTTAGGTGTTAAACAATCTCCAGTGATCATGATTTTAAAAGTGGGGTAGGTTATGTAAGCTCCAGATTCATCCAGACAGAAATCCCTAAATTGAGCTTGCTACATTAAGATCTAAAAAGTCCACTAAACTTTTGGACAAAGTCCACTTTTAAATCATGATGCCCCTTTTGTGCTTTTGGAGTCCCTAAAACATAATTTAAATATAAAGAGAAGAAGTGTGTAAAAGACCAGATATAATGAAAAATTCTAACAAAAGTATTCTTAGATTGTTTAAATATCTAAGAATTAAAAACTGATTAGAAGGTACAGGCCTGAAAAATGATTAGTCCCATGAAAATATAAAATAATAAGAAAACTATTTTAACTTTCTTTAATATTTTTCTTTATCCTACAGGTGGGAAATGAAACACATTGTCCCTCAGTTTATAGTGGTTAAATTCCAGGACCCCCTATGGATAGCAAAATGTGTAGATGTTCAATTCCCTTTTGTAAAATGTTATAATATCTGCATATAACCTATTTGCAAATTCCTTCATGCACTTTAAAGCATCTTTATATTACTTATAATAACAATACAACATAAATGCACATAGTTGTTACAGTATATTATTTAGGGAATAATGACCAGGAAAAAAAGTCTGTATAAGTTTGGTACCAACTATTTGTAAACATTTTTTATGTTTGGGTTGTTGGATGGTTTCCATGGATGAATGTGGAAGGCCAATTGTATTCTGAAAACACAAGGGCATACACATTGAAAGTACTCTGTCTCTAACATGTCCCCTCTTCTAATGGGACTTTATCCTGGTTATCTGTAAGAAGCAGTAAAATGTACTAGGAAAACAAAACATTACCTTGGGCTCATCTCATTAATCTAAAATTATGCAAAATATTTATACTTTTTTTTTGTACCAGAAAATTAACCACTTAGCCATATCTCCAGCCATTTTATTTTATTTTATTTTATTATTTTGAAACAGGGTGTTGCTAAGTTCCTAAGAGCTTCATTAAGTTGTTGAGGCTGGCTTTGAACTTGAGATCCTCCTACCTCAGCTTCTGAAGCTGCTAGGATTACAGATGTTGGCCACTACATCAAGCACAAAATATTTATCTTACCATTCATAATTTCATCAATGCATATAGAAATACAAATGCTGCATCTATATGAAATGCTTTCCTTCATATTCTTCCGTGGTTGGAAAATTGTCCTCATTCAGTTTTCAGCTCTTAATGATGTTTTCCTTTGACCATCAAAGCTAAATTATACCATTGTTGTCATTTCTCTGCCCGCACAAACAATTAATAACCACTAACTGTGGTTACTGCATTCAGAGGAGTCACACTAATTCTCTTATTTAATAACTGTAATTAGTGCTTTCAACCCAGTCTCATTTATTTACTTTTTTATTTATTTAAGGTTAATGTTTTCTTATTCAGAAAAAGCAAAATCAGAATAGGGTTTTTATATTTTTCACTTTGACATAAAGTAGGCAGTATATAATTAGGTGTAGAATGAATGAATGAGTTCAATAATGAGTATAGTGTTACAGGTAATATATTGAAATAAAAAGCACAGAGAAGGAACACTCTATATATAGTGGTTACAGGTTTCCTAGA